CAGATGGCCACCGGATGTACGAAGCAACCGCTCAGACAGCATCGAAACGGTTTCCGTCGTATATATCTGAGGAAAGCTTAGATCATCCCCAAATTTGACAGCTTGATGTTGACAGGTATTGATGCTATGAATCCTAAAATATATTCTTCAACACTTTTCACGAAGTTTTCGCCTTCCTACCGGCTTATCGGGGTCTAACGGATAGGACCCCCGGAAGCCGGTAAATATGCCTCAAATATAAAAAATCAAACGCGGTCGGCTCCGGTGTAGGATGTGCGGAAGGATTGTACAAAGTTTCGTTGCCCAAGGAGCGAAACTGAGGTAGAGCGGTCGATTCAAGCGTACAGCAGTTGTGCCCAAAGAGCTCATTTTAGTCTAAATCCAAGTAAATAAGGGGTTCGCAGAGGAAATTTCAGGTTCTTGTTACAAAACGCAAATCCTTCGTTTGGTGTTTTGGAGATAGGTCACGAAATTTTGCACACACACTTGTCCGCAAGATCGATACCATAATTTTTACGAATGTGGTTTTTCTATTTTCTGTTATTCGCCGAATATTCAGGGTCCAGCGCAGCCTATCTGTCCCAGGAACGTGCGGGACCCCGATTATTCGGTGCATAAGAAAACAAATCGAAAACCCCCAATCGTGAAAAGTTAGGTATCGATCTTGCGGACCATTGTGCATAATTTGGTGACCTATCTCCAAAAAACCGAATGGAGGATTATTTGCGGGGAACAAAATTTTGTTTTTTCTTGCGTGAACCAGCTTGTACTACGTTGTCGTGTTCATTATTGGGGGCCACACATTGTCCTCGAACTCTACAGGGACCTACCAAACCACCACAGACAGGCAGACTGCGTAACCGCGGCAATTTGTAGTCTAGCTCTCGGTCAAAACTAGAGAAAGGTAGGTGTAGTCTACAGCAAAACTGGAGGTAGGTAGGTAGTCTAACAGTAGGCACATCGCGTTGAGTGCTAGGGAATGCATATATTCCGCTGTTCTACAGCAGCACTATTGTACACATGGAGTACAGAGTTAGCGCCCGCGAGTTAACGAAATTCAGGCTCACACAAAAGAAAATGTGAACTTGTCCATAAGAACGGGTGCTCAGTCAAGAGAACGACACTAAAACCTATATAAAGTCGCCGTGGGTGTACAGTTAGCGCCCGCGTTTAAGAAACGTCAATTTGGGGTCGAGGCTCAATCTCTTATTTCGTCACCACCTTCGAGCATGGGTCATTTCAGAATTTTAGTGAAGGATCCACGGCTGAGGTGTGTTTCTTAGTCGATTTTTCTTATATATCGCAAAAATATGAGCATTTGTTTATTAAAGTCTCGTTTCTCAGTCGCGGGCGCTAACTGTACCTATAGATAAATAAGTTTGCAGGTGTTGTTTTATCCTAAGAAACAGAGGCTCCTTTCTTCACGAAAACCATGCGAAAACAAGAAAACAGGGTTAAGAAACACAGCCCAGCGGTGGATCCTAGACTAAACTCTCTATAGCAACCTTGGTGCTGGACAGTGGCGATGAAGTAAGAACCTGAACCTAGGCCCGTGTCGACGCTTCTTGTCTCAGGGCGCGTTCTGTATTACAGTCTACACAGGAAAAAAACGATTCAGCTGCTACCATGTCCAACATCTTGTTGTGGCCTTTTTATCTACGCGTGGCGTGTCCCGAGCACCCACAACTCTGTTGAGTACTGAATCAGTCTACGTGTACATACATGCAAAGTTTTTAAACGTGCTCCACATTCTCCGACATCCCGGCCACTCTGGGTACCGCCTTGATTTGATCATCTGTGTTCTTCCTCCCAGAGCCCATATCCTCCTGGTTCAAACCACCGCGACGGCTTGACATTGCGGACCTCTCTACAAGTAGTACCTATCCTACTTGCACGCTTGCTCTACGACAAGCTTTACTTACATGCACACACATGAAACCTCACACATAGAAAATTGCACCCTGTCATACACAGATAGGCAGGCGAACTTACAGTTGGTGGCCGTTGTTCGCAAGGTGACAACTAGGCTAATCCGAGAGGAGGGTGAGGATTGACGTATACCCCTGGCTGGTACGTGGTGGATCAAGGGGCATACCACTCGGAGCCGACCTCCTCTCCTACGTGTCTAAGCCCGAACTGGCAATATTCAATCGACCATCATTCCTCTTCTACATGACGACAACAACGAGTTAATTGCTGCCCCAGCTACCGTTGCTTCCTCATCCCGTACAGTTACTACATAGTGCGCTTCACTTTGGCCATCACCTACAATAAATCCGAGTTTCCTTTGTCCCCGGTCTTGAAACAAAGTTTTTCGAAACGTCGGACCGCCCCTCGACCCTTCTACTTCCTTACCGCTTACTCGGTCGACAGTAGGATAAAACAAATATTATGTACGAGACTTTCTTCATCATGTCAGGTCGTCCATCCTCTGGAGCACCTCAAGCCATGACCATCCCGATCACCTTCTGTGCGGACAAGCCGACCAGCCTCCGGACGACTGTCCCGCCCACGGAGAAACACACACAAGGCTTGCCGTTCACCGCTCAATGTAGACGAGGTCGAATTCCCGCCAGACGTTCGCTGAGGCTGGCCACTTGGCCTTCATCAAGTCCTTACTGAACCGGGGCTTGAAACACACCTTCACCAAGGAGTCGGGGGCACGAAATACCAGCGATAGACTTGTCGAACCCTCCCAGAATCAATCTTTAAAGGCCACTTGGCCACACGACCCCGCGATTCTCCCGGTTGAATGCCGCGCCAAACGACAGCTCCTGCAGTTTGTCAGGCCATCTTGTGCGGCAACAGGCTCGTTGAAGAGGGTGCCAAATGTACGCCGCAACAGGGAGTCTGGCCAATCAACCGTGATGATGGTCTGGTTGAACCTCTGCCCAAACGATAGCTGCTGCAGGCTGGCGGGAACCCCTTGCTGAGCGATGGGCATGTCAAAATCCTCACCGAAGCACAGGTGTAACGGAGATCTGGCCGCGAAATCCCGTCAATTAACTTGTTGAACCCGCCAAGTTTCAACGTTTTCAGGCCACTTGGCCAAACGACCACGCGATGCTCCTGGTTGAATGCAGGGCCAAACGACAGCTCTTGCAGTTTGTCCGGCCATCTTGTGCCCGCAACGGGCTCGTTGAAGAACGTGCCTGATTTATGCCGCAACAGGGAGGCCGGCCGGGAAATTCCGGTGATGGGCTGTTTGAAGTTTTCCCCAAACGATAGCTGCTTCAGGAAGGCGGGAAAAACGTGTCCGTTGATGGGCTGGTTAAATTTCTCGCTCAAGGACAGGTGTAACAAAGACTCTGGCCACACGACGTGCGTGATAGGCTGGTAGAGTGGTCCTGTGAGGGACAGGTGTTGAAGGTTGTCGGGCCATATCGCGTCCGTGATAGGCTGGTTGAAGCATGGTCAAACGTCACCTTCGTGAGTGACGGAGGCCAGGTGACTCCAGCCACGCTCTGATCAAACTGGTACCCAAATTCCAGAGTCTCGGGGTGCGGTGGCAATACCGAAACTGTCGATGGCCTTGTAGCAGCTGCCGTACTCATCTCTGTCGAGGTAGAGATGTTTTGTTTGCGACAGCGCGGGCGCGCATTTCCGCATCATCTCAACGCCAAGACCCCACACGACGCTCTTCCCGACAAGCGGCGGCACTCTCGAAAGACGCGTCGATGCTCCTGCCTCGGCCGCCTCTGCAGCTACTTGGCTCGGGGTCCGCGACCTGTGTGGCCGGCTAGGCTTCATGTCCTCTTGCTGCCGTTGCCCCCTACCACGGGTGCTCCCGCGACGCAGCTTGGTGCTGGCAAGCGCGTCCCTGCCGACCGTTATGCGCCAAAGGGCCAAGTCTCGGACTGCCTCGCAGAGTGCAAGGCAGGCAAGCTGTAGTTCCTTTATCGAGCAAAGTGATTCTCCCTGTAGATTCACGGCCCCGGCGAGAAACGTCAGGAGGACCTCGTAGACCGCAACCCTGATAGTGGTTCCAACAACAGCATCGACAACAACGAACAGGAGCGACGAGTGGCGGCAGGGAACGCGCAACACAAGGGAAGGACGGCAATCAGCGAAGTACCAACTGGACCTGATGCTCTTGACTTGGTTTGGTGTATTCTTGGTTGTTCGCCGTGATCGGGGGCGCGGCCGGAACGAACGGCGTGGCTTGCTTGGTCTTGCCGACGAGCGATGGCACGGTAGAAAAACGGATCGTCCCTCACCTGCTCTGTACAGCACAGCACGAGAGTGGGACGGAGACAGAAGGAAGGGCGAGGGGGGTCAGCCGCTGCGAGCCACAACGACCGGCGAGAGCTAGCCTTACTGCCGTACTCTGCTCTACAATGGACCATCCATGTATGCATGGCAGTCTACACGCTGAAACGACGCCCGGTCGGTGCAGTAGTAACAAACGAGCCGGCTTCCCTGCCCTAAAGAGAAGCGAGAGCTGCATGCGTGCAAATGCTACCGAGTCGGAAGTAGAACGTGGTACTTACAACCGACTGGTCAGGTTTTCCACTGCAAGCCAAAAGAAGGCTTCATGCGAGCTCTAGCATTTCAATAGCGGTCTCACGGGCTCATTCATCTCTTACCCCGCGGGTTTCTCGCCGGCCCTTTATCTTTTTTCTTTCTTTCGCCTCCTGGCGCGCTCCCCCGCCCCTCCCAAGGGCAAACGGCAAGAAAAGAATCAAGCACTCACTATCGTAGCTGCGTGTGAGCAAGTACGTACGCAGAGAGCCGTCTTGTTTGCCGAGATCCGTCTCCATCTCGATCGACATCTGTCAAGAACTAATAATGATTAGCCCCCCGTCTTGACGTCGTCTGCCGAGAGAAACCAGCCTCGATGCCAACGAAACACCGACCGCACACTCTCTACACCCTTTGGGGCATACGAGGGAGAATCGAACCGCTCTGAGTCCCCGTCCGTATGTTCCTTATGTTCACCCTACTGTAGTATCGTGACCAGTGCAGTACGGAATGTCACGTGCTCGGATTCAGCCACGGCATCATCGTACATCACCTGAATGTATCCACATATCCACATACACGCCGCCATGACAAGATAAAGGCGGTGGTTAGATTCCTAAAGGGGTTCATAAGCCGTATTGGGTTGGGGGTCGGGGTGGGCCAAGAAAACTCATTGGTGTTGGTTGCTAGTCCCGCCCACCCCCTTCCCCTAAGAATCCACTCGACCTGCCCGCTCAATCAAGTCGTGAACCCGATGAGCTCGTCTCAATCACTTACTCGACCTGACGCGCTCAATGAAGTCATGAACACGATGAGTTCTTAAGCACTCTCTGGCAAAAT